CAGGTGCTCAGCCAGGTGCTCAGCCAGGTGCTCAGCCAGGTGCTCAGCCAGGTGCTCAGCCAGGTGCTCAGCCAGGTGCTCAGCCAGGTGCTCAGTCAGGTACTCACCCAGGTGCTCAGCCAGGTGCAGAATGGTCAGATTCTTCAGACAGTGAATCCAAGCTAGAGCTTTTTAGACCCCCAAATCACTGAGTCAGCCAATTTAGAAAACAGGATATTCAAAAAGGAGTCTATCTGGTCCAGGATCTAGCCCGAGCCCTGGTAAAGAAATGGCTAAAGAATCAATTCACCTGTCCTCTCTATGCCTTTCTGGCCTGCTTTAGTAGGGATTATACCCGCGGCTGCTTTAAATATATCAGTCAGATTAGCCATATCTATTCTATAATATTAAAAGTCTTTCAGTTTATCTTTTTAATCCATGTACATGAAGAGATATATATAGATCAGACCCAGCCCCCAGAGCCCATAAGTGAATATATTAGGGAATAGATGACCTGATACTGTACCAGCCAGGCAGAGACACCCCTGGAAATCCTGCTGGGCTACTGAAATCTAGCACTATTCCTGATCTGTAATAGTATAGCCCTAGATTAGGTAGTTCTAGTAGGCTCCCATTAGTTCAAGTATCGAGCTCTACTGATCTCACAGCAGGAGCTGCAGAGCTTTTTCTACCAGATAATTCAGGATCTTACAGATTAACTGGCTAATAAGCTCTTTCTAGATTTTGATTATTTCAGACAGATAGCAGCCTCAATCTCTTTATTAGAGATATCAAGATATAAAGACTTTCAGAATCCAGCCAGAGATTTCAGTTTTAGAACTAATTATCTCTAAAAGGCTTACTGGGATATCTTTTTAATATAAAAGATCCTAGTACCAGCCTAACAGACTATCTGGTTCTAAAAGACCTGATCTGATTAGAGGAAAGCTCTGAAGCTAAATCCTAGACCAGTCAAGGCCTATCTAGCTGAGATATCTTAATTTCTCAAGACTCTATCAGTTCTATACCATATGACTAGTGGTGCCCCAGCCCGTGGTACAGAGCTGAACCAGATTCTGTTCCAGAATTCAGCTGTAGGCCTTAGGTATCTCTTTCTGAACCTGAGACACCAGCAGTTTCTGATTCGCCTGGCCTATTTAAAGACCTTTAGCCAGACCGGTCAGGTCCGTGAGGCCATTAGAGCTCTGCCAGAGACAGTATCCTGGCTTCTACTGATCTATCTAATGTATATTAAGCCTTTTCTGGAATTCTTGATTATTCAGCTGAACCACAGCCTTTCCAGAAAGCTAGAGTATCTCTGGACCATCTTTAGGGTTTCTCACCTGTCTAGGATTTCAGTCAGGCCTATTGATTCCTGGACACTATCAACCACCATGAAAACCCTAATGGTTACAAAGCTGGGTCAGCCGCTCGGGGTGAGTACCTGGCGGCACCTGGCCCAGGCTATCATTCGCCATAGGATGCAGGAGCAGGTGCCCGAGAAAGGCCCCAGGAATGACCGGGATAATGAGGGCCTCGGAGCCCAGCAGATGTATCATTCCAGAAGAACCGGCCAGCAGATCTATAGCTGCCAGCAGGTACAGTTTGGCCAGGTCAGGCCGGATCACCAGGAGGCCCTGATCCAGTTCAGCCAGTACTGGCATGCCTATTTAGGGTTAGCACCAGGTCAGATTATTCTGGACCGCCTATTCTATCCCCATACAGAGCAGAGAGGTCCTGGTATTGATCCGGATAGCAACCTGGATAGCAATCACAATAGCAACCATAATATATATACTGAGATTGGCCAGATCAGATCCCTGCCCCTGGCCGAGCCGGTGATTCAATTCTACTGGCCCCGGGCCATGGCCGCACAGGCCCCGAGGCACCATGTGACCCTAGGTGAATTCAATATATATATCTCACTGGACCAGGGCCCGGGGGCCCTACCGAACCACAGTCCAACCGAACTAGCAGACCCGGACCCGGACCTGGACCAGCTGGACCAGGCCCAGCGCCTGCGGCAGCCGGTCTCGCACCAGGCCTCTACAGTCACCTTACCCCAGGCAATCCTTAACCGGCTCCTGAAGGAATTCATGCAGGATGAGCAGGCCACGTTCCGCAGCCCGGCCCAGGCCAGGGCCCTGCATGCTCTACTGACCAAGGTGCCCTACCTGATCCTGATCCTACTGACCGCGGGGGGGAAGACTACCCTATTTCTATTAGGAGCCAGCCTGACTATAAGCCAGACCACAATCCTAGTGGCACCTCTGGTGGCCCTGAAGATGGACCTCTACTGTAAAGCCCAGGCCCTAGGGCTCTCAGTCCGGATCTATGAGGATAGCTATGATCAGGGATCTCTCCTGAGGATCCTGCTGGTTTTAATAGAGTCCCTGGCCATGCCGCGGTTCTATAGCTATACCAGGACCCTAGCAGCCCAGGGTCAGCTAGACCGCATTATTTTCGATGAATGCTATTTAATCCCCCTGGCCCAGTCCTACCGTCAGGTGATGTATCGGGTCAAGCAGGTCATGCAGTTGCCAGTCCCCATAGTCTTCAGCTCAGCCACCCTACCGAAGCATCTTGAAACAGAGCTCCGCTCTATGATGATGATCAGTCAGGCCGAGGTGATCAGGGCCAATATTAATAAGCCTAACCTACAGTATGGGGTTCAGCTGATATCTCAAAACAGTGAATATCCAGAGGCACTGATTCAATTCATAAAGCATTTTGAGTGGACCAATCAGAATACTACAAGGCCTTTGAAGATTATTGTATTCTGCATGTCCAAGGCCCTCGTCGAGGCTCTCCATAGCCAATACCCGGAGACATATTACTTCCATGCAGATCTGCCTGACCCGGTCAAATCAGACCAATTAGACCGCTTCATTCAGGCAGGTCAGGGTCAGGCTGGTCAAGCAGGTCAAGCAGGTCAAGCAGGTCAAGCAGGTCAGGCAGGTCAAGCAGGTCAGGCAGGTCAGGCAGGTCA